AGTCTCCCAGGTAATAATTAACAGACTAAGTTTAAATGAAAAACTTCTGAAAAATTATAAATAATTGTACTGTCCACTTATCTGGACTTGCCTCTTTAAAGGATCGAATTACTATATATCCATGAGCTTAGCATTCAGTACAGCCTTGGAGCAAGGCTGGGGACTCTCTTCTTATAGATTTACGAAATGGAAGTGGCATCAGCTGTTCAGCGTAGGAACCCAGCTGTAACAAATGTACATATCTTGTAGAATTGGTTGGACATTTCCACGTTAACTATTCCTCGCTGAGCTGGAGAATCATCAACATCAATTACCCACTCCCGGATATACGAAGGTCATGGGTGATAAAGGGTTCCTTCGAAAAACCCATTACACAGAGAAAATTATAATGATAGCTTTTCTTCAGACAAAAACCTGGAAATGACGAGAGATATATGTACATGGATATGAGGCGTGCATGCAATGCTTGGCACACGTTCTGTCGTTAGCCTGCGAGCTTTGTAGGTTTGGCATGCAACAAAATATGGGTTTACCTTAAAGTTCAGGAGACCTGAGACAGCATCTTTACAAGAAGCTCTTAACGTCAAGTGTATTGTCAAGAGGCCCTTTCCGCTGTAATCTGGGTCTAATTTTGTTCTCTTTTCAAGATATTTTGGTCCTGGAACTGGGTTGGGAATGGGTGTTTTATGGACAGATTCCCTTTGGGGATTGGTTCTTACATTTGAAGGGGTTGCAATGATTTGTTATTTAGCTCTTTCACGTTTCTTTTTACCAGCGATAGCAGAGCAAACGAATACATGAACAAATACAAATATGTGGATGTGGATGCTTCTGTTTATTAGTGTAGATGTAGGCTATTCGAAAGAACCGTAAAAAGAAACCTCGATAGTACGGACCTTGTGTAACAGGAACCTCTGTTTCCGGACGATAACTTTTTTGTTTTGTCTAATTGAATTAAAAACGCAGTACGCCGCCACAGTGTAAATATAACTTCTTTGAGAGGCATTTAAAAGTTGGAGTAGTAAGGAAGGATAACAATATATGGATGATCAGTTGATCTCACAGCAATATAGAAGTTGTTTATCCATATATTGTTATTGTTATCCTTCCTTATAATGTAAATATAAATATATGTTAATCCAACGGATGTCTTCTTATCGTCTAAAATAACGAGGTTCCATGTTATACAGAATAAGGATTAAGTTAAAATAGATGCATCCTAGTCATATAAAATAGACATTGTATGATCTGAATACATCTCTGCATAATATCTTATATGCATATGGCCTCCTTGTCGAATATATCTATACACTCATCTCTTTCAAATCATAGTCGTTTAGCGATTTTTATGATGGTTTTTATCATCATATAGTCGGCACTAGCACACAGTGTACAGGCCGGACATATAACACTTTGTATCTGTTACAGGGAATGTGTGAAACCAGGGATTTCACGTAATCCCTAAAAGAGTCAGTGATTTCGTGAAATCCCTGTTCCTAGGGTCACCTCTTCCTCTGTTCACGTTTGGCATTTCTTGTGTCTGAAGTAAGTACTCAACATTATAAATTAAGGTATGACGTGACAAATGTGTTATATGTTATGTAATGTGCGCTTGGAAGTGCAGCAAGAGGAATTATCAGCTAGGTCTTACAAAAATTGATCTTAGGATTAACCGATAACACACTTATTGATTAATGTATTCTTAAGATCCTTCCTTCAAATATATGTATTTTGTTATTTTTATTTTGTTGTAGCATTCAGCAGAATCATTCTACTTCATTTTTTTAGCTATTTTGTTTCGATGAGACAGAGGAAAGCCAGACATTCATCAGTAAGCACAAAGCAGAGGCATGGTGATGACAAACTTTGAAACATAATCGGGCCGAACCAGATTCGTTCCAGTGATCGCCGGTTTCTCGCGTTCGCAAGAGACGCATCTCTACACAGCGAAGTCAGGCCAGGACACCAGTGCTCACCTTTCACAAGTCTACAGTATGCAGCGTTAACGTACCTTTCCATAAACGAATAAGAGACCATTTGTAACACGTTTCTCGTTCACTTAACACTGATACGATCAGTAAATAAGCTAACGCCAAGTTAATACAAGTAATTTGATTACAAGCTGTTTTTCTTTCTGAAGTGTTATTTTTTAATAATCTGCATCACACTTCGCCAAGCAAATACAAACAAACGGATGTCAAGCTTCAGTGCCTGGACCAGGGACCGCTCTCAACTTGCACCTGTAGCTATATATAATACAGAAACAAGCGTGGTATCACATGAAGACTGTAGACTAACATAGATAGCGCGTTCATAACGTGTATCGCGAACAGATTCTCCACACGTTAAACGGCATAACCGTCTTCTTTATCGTATTACAGTCAGTTTATAAGATAAAGCCATTTATTTGTGATTTATTTGGGTTGTGCCTCCTTAAGCAGCCTGTTACTTTATGTAGATGTTTGAAAGTGTGCGAACTGTACTTGAATACACGAAAATCAGAAATAAATGAATACAAATTATAGTGAAACCTTCTAACCTGAACCGCCATTAAGTCGATGTGAATTTGTTGAACGGGGTGAAATCTTTGCAGTACTCTGGTGTTCGACATAACTTTCCTTGTTCTCCTAGAAGTATGGATAACTCGAAGAAAGTCAGAACTCTCACTTCGACTTTGACTTTATTGGAAACTGGACCTGTCAATTCATACATATAGAAGCTGCACACACTTCAATGTTTGTTTTGAACTGTTTTAAGCACGGGTATTGGATCGTAATAAGGCAACAGCCCATGGAAACGCTACTAACACGAAGTACCAAACGAATTCCCACAGCTCGGCATTTCCAGACATAGAAAATGTTGTAAGCGGGGTACATTGATTGGCTTAGCCAATCAGAAAACGACCTTTATGTGGGAGGTAAGATAAATATAAATATATGTTTGTGTTCATATATCTGAAATCAATAATAATATATATAAATAATGTGTGTCTGTGTCTGTCTGTCTGTCTGTGTGTGTGAGTGAGTGAGTGAGTGAGTGAGTGAGTGAGTGAGTGAGAGTGAGTGAGTGAGTGAGTGAGTGAGTGAGTGAGTGAGTGAGTGAGTGTGTCATTATATATGTAAATACAGTTGCAATGAAAATGGTTTAGTTCGGACCCCTTTAAATCCTGATACCTCGTTTTCCGGCACCCACAGAACATATATATTTAGAGCAACCTAACTCTGCACCATGATAAATTAACCCATTTGACTTCACTTGGAACAGTACGAATTGAGAAGGTTTTCACATTTCCAAAAGCCCTTTATCCAAACATTTGTTTGACCAGACAGCTATATTGGCTTAAACTGAAAGAGGGCACATAATGCACAGTTGGTTGCCATTAGGTGAATGTGTTGTAGACACCGGTATATATAGACATCGTATATAAAACAGTCTCGTCGCTCAGTCTGGTGGTAAACATGGTGCAACACATTCATTTCAAACGCACTGTGAAAAACGTCCACGTGTAAGTCGTCATTCACCGTTAGTCTTATCGTGATTTGGCAGGACGTTCCTACACTGGATACGGTTATTAAAGGATACAATTTTCTTGATGTGTATACATGTAGAGTAAGTGTGTGCTTATCAAGGCTTTACTGTTAGGAATGTCTGTGTAATCAGTATACGTTTGTTTCATGCCAGATTCAGATTTGGTGATGAAAGAGTTTGCTTATTAGTATACTGTAACAGCAGGGAACAACGCCTGTGATAAGTAATCGTGTTAAAATAGTCAATACTCTATACCCAATACACAAAATATGTGCAATTCACTGTCAGTGTTATGATGAGACATAATCCGTTAAAAATGACAAATTGATAAAAAATATGAATGACTCAATCCATGCTCACTTGATGTGTGCAATTCGTTGAAAGCGTCAAATACACAATGTTCTATCAGCAATGTAAGCATTCGTTGGAGGTGTTATGACCCGTAACAGAAAGATAATGGTTGTAAATGCGGAGATACAATATTCAAAGCACAGAATGTAAGCATTTACCGTAGGTGTTATGACTCGTAACAGAATGATAATGGTTGTGAATACGGTGATAAAATACTCAAAGCACAGACATAAGCATTCACTGTAGCTGTCATGACGTAATGACTCGTAACAGAATGATAATGGTTGTGAATACGGAGATAAAATACTCAATGCACTGAATGTAAACATTCACTGTAGGTGTTACAGAATGATAAATGTAATTGTTTGATCGGCATTCTAGAAGCTGGTGAGTCAATAATGAAGCATAAGCCTTTATGGATAACTTCTTGTCTTTTTGTTTATTGCATAGAGCGACAGAATGTAATCATTCACTGTAGATGTTATGACGTTACAGAATGATAATGGTCGTGCATACGGAGATTAAATACACAATGCACTGAACGTAAAAATTTGCTGTGGGCGTTATGACGTTATGATTCGTTACAGAATGATAATGTGTGAAAAGGTAGAAGGAAATTGTTAGATAACATATACTCAGTACTCTGTAAGCACTGCAGAAAATGTGTGCAAGGGACAGTGGTGTCAGGTGTTGCTGCTATGGTAATGGTTACAGAATGATAATGGTCTAAAAAGTGTAAATCAAGTGTTATATACCCAATGCACTGAATTCACTTTACAAAATGTGTGCTATTCACTGTACTTGTAGTGATTTTGTTATAATCCAAGAATGGCAATGATCTAAAACGTGTGTTGCAATATGTACTACACTGTGTAAAATAACTACGTTGAAAGGTTTTGAATTTTGTAATACTTAAAACAGGAACACTCCCTTTTTACGTCAAAGGCCCCCTTGTACGTGCACCTGTCTTTCCGTTTCCAGCACATGTAACACGTTTATGTTGTCCGTCTTGATAAGGTCATTACCATGTTGTTGCAACAGAGTTCTCAAATACTCAAGGGGATCTTTGTTTCAATGAGCAGCGCTAATGTGTTAACAACCGTCAAAGTAAACCACAGGCATATTTGAAACTTGAACCATTTCCAGCTTTTATTGCAAAGAATGCAGTGTAAACAACACATCAACACGAGAACACAGTTCAACAATACACACTGAAGACGTCAATTTAGTCATGTTGGCGTGAGAGCAAGATCAAAATGTATTCCTTCTCGAAATCTGTCAGTTGCAATGGGATATATGTTAAGTAGTGCGACGTAAGTACGCCATTAATCATTACAATTTAATTATTAAGTTTACTTTTTTCATTTGTGAACTAAAGAAGGTATAAAGAAATCATCGTAGAAAAAAACTTCACCATACTTCTATACAGCTGTAATGATATATGTATGGTTCCACATTTAAAAGTAAAAATTTAAAAGGGTGTTTACCTCATTCTGTGAATATTAAATGATATAATAAGTTAAAAACGCGTTTTTAATGATCCTTTTTCACATGAAATAATCATACGTCTTGAACATATACACTGGAATGTCCGGTTAAATTATATACTTCTTGACATGGTTTATAACAATTGTCTATATGTAATATTCCTATGATATAAACAAAGCAATTGTGTATTACCTACAACTGGTTTCAGCATTATCACGTAACACACATCGTGTTTGTGTTCTTCTTTATGATTCATTTGAAACTTACTCTCATATGAATGACTGGTGGTAATTATTTGAGTCAGACGTTATGGTTCAAGTAAACGATGACAGATAACAGATGCACTGTAAAATTGTTGTGCAAATCATGTGTATATGTAATGATATTACACTTCATTACATTAAATGGAAAATATTAATATTCGCAACAATTAGTCATGGGAATATGTAACTGACATGCATTGAGCTTGATATACCGTTCACGTACATACAAACATATAACACATATTAAAAACGCATTAACAAGAGATGTAAAGTATATAATAGATATTTCAAAGGTATAAATGCATTTTAAAAAATCGTTTTTTCATCACTTTTCATGACAATGTGAATAAAGCTACAAATATATAGTGTGATTGTAGCACTGTTAAACATGAGCATCTTATATGCAAATAATGATATATAGGTATATGCAATATTCTCACGTATCTTCCATATCATAATTGAGCCACTGTTGGCTGACACAGTCAATGGTATGTCGATCACCAACGTCAACACAACACATGTCGTACATCGTTGACGAAAACAACGTCGGCCTCGTCACCTCTGGTATTGCAGGTACACAAAACCCCTGCTCGAGTTGTTTCGCGAGGATGGATTTTTGAGAACCACTGAAAGGTTTGTCTCTAAAACAAATAAAAAACAAAGCACATCCTAAACTCCACACATCAGAAGGTTTCGGATCGTAAGGAGCCCCTATAAGCACTTCCGGAGCCAGGTAGGGTCCCTGTCCTAAATACTCGTTACACAGACGTGGCCTTCCGTCGTCGTCGTTGCAAGCAAACGCTTGTCCGAAATCACCTAGTTTCACAAAAGTGCTGCTAATGAGTAGGACGTTGCTTGGATTAAGATCCCTATGTGCAATGTGGCAGGAATGACAGTAGCTGGTTGCTGAAAGAAGCTGTCCAAAAATGTTTAAAACGTGGTTGTTGGACAACAAGTCTTGTTCCTTTACGTATTGCTGCAAATTCCCCAGAGAGGCATATTCCATAATAATGCAGGCAACATGTTCTGTCAACACGAGACTCTTCATCTGTATTATATGCCTATGTCGCAATTTTAATAAGCACTGGATTTCATTAAAGATGTATTCATCCTCTTCAACTGGACAGCTGGACTGGATTTTCTTCAAGGCAAACGTCCCACCAGAACACACCTGCGTAATCTTGAACACATTGCTGAAAGCTCCATAATCAATTTCCTTCACGATTGTATATCCTTCATCTTTAACTGCATCCATCCACAAATCATTGTCCGCGTCTCCCATTGTCTGTTCACGTACGGTATTCTGCAGTGTAATTCACCATGGCCCGATAGTATACGCGAGCCAGTATACAGTATCTCCCTCCGCTGCAGGCACAATATGCCTTGGTAATGTCACTGTCAATCGCTGTATGCAATAATATGTTTGAAGCATCACATTTGCTTCTCACGAAGAAAAAAATTCCAACGATTTATCCAGATGCGGCAAACACAAACCAGAGAAATTGCACAAAAAATACCAACCAAAAAAGTCCTCTCTGAGAATGAAATTCTCTATACCAGACCGGCTGAGATACTCAAGCGTGTGGACGTCTGATTGAGTTCGCGAACCCAGAATGACATGCAAAGCCTGGCACGCCTACCGAGCTGGAGAAGCGAATGCCTCTTGACAAACAGCAGAACGGCATTAGGTTCCTCTTGCCTCCTGCACAGCCAGATAAACCCTGCATGTGATAGAAAGGAAGCACACAGGTCTAGTGCAGAGCCATGCTCGCTCACATATATAATCTGCTCCCACTGATAAGCCTAACGAACACAAAACTTCCTATTTGTCTGGGCAGCCACGTGACGGGACATCCAGCTAATCAGCCTATAATTCTCGCCAGCTTGCATCAGCCCGAGACCATTAGTAAACTGGAACCGTTTTTTCTCCCTACAATCCCACCAATTATTTATGAATGTATCCCCATCCCCAGGTTCATATCAGTTCTGGTAGAAACCAGACAGGAGATCTTTTAACTAACAAGGATTTTTCTTCTGAAGTCCCGACCAGACGGTGCCCCCCGGGATAACTGAACAACGTCCACGTGAGAGGTTGTCTTAGAGTAAACCTTTGTAAACGTAATAACGTATTTGTGGGCTTCATTTCATTATGGGGGTATATACCTCGTAGTGCTAACACCTGCCCCTCTCAGTGAAAGGTTTCACCTGAGGGTCGAGACGAGGTAACTTCAATCAGTACTATTGTAGCAGGTGTTAACAGGCTAATATTGGCGAGTACCTTGTGAACACGTTGTTCACCTGAACCCACAGGTTCGCAGTTTGAAGGGAGCGTGGCCTCCAGAATCCGATTGTGTATTTGCTTTATCTAAACTTACATGTATTCATGATACAAGAAGAACTCGTTCATCCGAAAGATACCATTGCTATTCTATTTGCACCGATAGGCTCCTGATTAAGTTATATATACATGTAGTATTTTTAATATTCTTTGACATTCATAATAATCAACATACCGCCCTGAAAGTGGGGTATCCGGTTTAATGAGGTCCGGTGTTATGGGGGTTCACTCTTTATATTGCTCTTGTCATTGATTAAAGGATTATAGAACGCATATTTGTTCGGCATACAGGAAAAGTTGTGTCTCAAAACCAAGACACTCAAAGATTATCCTGGACGAAACCCCACTTAAAGTTGATTATTTGACGCAACTTGTTTACATCAACCCGAATGGCAAACATGTGAAAACATATAATCGCTTTGTTCATTTCCCATTAAAGCAATTGTTTCTCTCGACAACATTCCATATTTTGAAAGGTTGTGGCATGGTTATTCTTCACATTCCGATCCTTGACAAACAAGGGAAATGCGTAAACTGGTAACAGAAAAAAGGGTGTTGTAAAAATACCATTTCAAAAGCTAAGAATCGTCCAGAAAAATGTATGTAATACGCATCCGCTTCTGTAAACAACCCGTACCTATTGGTTTGCATCCTAACAGATAGGAAACACAAATGTAAATAATACTTGCTCTCCAAGAAAATAGATTCTCGTCGTTTTACTGCCTAAAAAACGTTAAGTGGCTTAATCAAAAATGGTTCACAGCTTCCCGTTATTTTCACTTCCACAACGATTAATACTGCCAGTGTTTTACTTACGCACTCACCGGGCCAAGATGAAGCAGATGTACTGGAATCCCTTGAGTGAAGTTCTATGACGGTGAAAGGTTATTGTGACCCTGATGAACTTCTGTGTTACTGACAGCAGCGAAAATTAGAGTTTAATGGAAGTTGCAAATAAATGGAAGATTTATGGCGAATTTAAAACTTTGAAAGAATTTACTGCTATATAAAAATGAAAGGCTGCATTGCACAAAATATTAGAAATGGATAAGGTCACTTCATTTATTTATTTTGGAATTGATATAATTATGGGTTCATTATTTGAACACCTGTTTAGTCATTTTTTTAACGAGTGTATAGTTATCTGTCATTTTATATAAATCCTGCAACTATTTCATGATAACTAATCTACATTGTTGACCACCTAGAAATTTGACACGTTCCTTACCCTATCTGAAAGAGTAAAAAGAGTTTTTAGGTGTTTTTTTCTGTTTTAATATCATGAGTGCATTTAGTACGAATGAGCGATTGAGTGAGTTTGTGTTAAAGTTGGTCCGAAAAGTATATCAGGTGTGTCCAGGCTAGCTATTCTCGAAACTTCGTAAGCCCTACGAACTTCTTAAGCCCATTCCTAACACATTGGCTACGATCAAAGTTAAGAATTCTTAGGGCTACGAACGTTTCGAGAATAAGGGCCCTGGTTCGTCCGATCATATACGTGTCTTAGTAAGGCGCAAATTGATGCACGTCATATATAAAGTGGTATGATGTAGTGGTGTAGTATGCGAGATAAGGTGTTATATAGAGAATACTACACTCGGTCTCATTACATACGAATTATACGAAACTCGTGACCTTTCTATGTTATCAGATAACATAGGAAGGACACTGGTTTCGTATAATTCGTATGTAATGAGACCGAGTGTGGTATTTTTTGTATTACCCACGTCTTACATGCATTAAATTGACAAAATAGCGTTTTTTCGTTATGTTTTTGGTTTCAAACCGAAACCAGTTTCATAAAGAGGTTGCGGAAGAGTTTTGTACTGTAGTACAATATTTGCATGACGTCGCGCTGTAATGACGTCACTGCCTTGGTAACCAACGTCACGATGCATGTCAGTTGCCATCGCCTCGTACAGTCTCCTACAGTAAACTACTCCGTAGCACCTCGTTTCTTGGTTTCCAGTTGCTTCATTCGGCTAACATCACTGGTGGAAACATTGCGCTTATGTTTTTCGACGGATATAATGTCTCAGTTCGACTCACAATTAAACAGGGACACGGCAACGTTCGCAATGTTTACATTCCCACAATGCATTTAAGTTGTAGAATGAATGAATTCACGTGTTTGTTATGAATGAAAAAATAGTTACGTCAGAATGTGACCTAATTGAGAGGTCATCGGTTATCCAATCAAATCGTTAGAATCTCAGGTCAAGTCGTTACGACACTGGTCAACGCGATACGACACTCGTGTGACGTACGAGATTAGTATGCAACTACCCATACGTTGACCTCGTGGGTAATAAGAAGGAGGAGGAAGTTTGGTATAATATATGACTTGTTAAAATATACAATGGCTTTACATGGCATTTTAGTGGCTTTAGTGTACAGTTGTGTGAAGGCATATATATGTGGTGGTTTCTAGGCGTGATTGCATTGTGGACTGCTTGTATGATGGTATGGTATGGAGGGAGGTATTGTGGACTGCTTGTATGGTGGTATGGTATGTAGGGAGGTATTGTGGACTGCTTGTATGGTGGTATGGTATGTAGGGAGGTATTGTGGACTGCTTGTATGGTGGTATGGTATGTAGGGAGGTATTGTGGACTGCTTGTATGGTGGTATGGTATGGAGGGAGGTATTGTGGACTGCTTGTATGGTGGTATGGTATGTAGGGAGGTATTGTGGACTGCTTGTATGGTGGTATGGTATGGAGGGAGGTATTGTGGACTGCTTGTATGGTGGTATGGTATGGAGGTAGGTATGGTATGGAGGGAGGTAGTGCGGACTGCTTGTATGGTGGTATGGTATGGAGGGAGGTATTGTGGACTGGTGGTATGTATGGTGGTATGGTATGTAGGGGAGGTATTGTGGACTGCTTGTATGGTGGTATGGTATGTGGAGTGGAGGTATTGTGGAGGAAGTATTGTGGACTGCTTACTGGTGTATGGTGGTATGGACTACTTGTGTAGGGAGGTGTATGTATGGGAGTATTGTGGACTACTTGTATGGTGGTATGGTATGGAGGAGGTATTGTGGACTGCTTGTATGGTGGTATGGTATGGTAGGGAGGTATTGTGGACTTGCTTGGTGTATGGTGGTATGTATGGTAGGGAGAGTATTGTGGACTGCTTAGTATGTATGGTGGTATGTATGGTGGTATGGAGGAGGTATTGTGGACTGCTTGTATGGTGGTATGGTATGGAGGGAGGTATTGTGGACTGCTTGTATGGTGGTATGGTATGGAGGGAGGTATTGTGGACTGCTTGTATGGTGGTATGGTATGTAGGGAGGTATTGTGGACTGCTTGTATGGTGGTATGGTATGGAGGGAGGTATTGTGGACTGCTTGTATGGTGACTTCTTGTATGGTAGAGGAGTATTGTGGACTGCTTGTATGGTGGTGGTATGGTATGGAGGGAGGTATTGTGGACTGCTGGTATGGTGGTATGGTATGGAGGGAGGTATTGTGGACTGCTTGTATGGTGTGATGGTGAAGTATGGTATGGAGGGAGGTATGGTATGTAGGGAGGTATTGTGGAGTGTATGGTGGTAGGGAGGGTGGAGGGAGGTATGGTGGAGAGTCTTAGTTTGGTGGTATGGACTGAGTCATGGTGATATCGTAGAGGTGATGGACTACTATGGTGGTATAGTATAGAGGGGAGGTTATGGCGGTATGGATGGAGGTGGACTACGATGAAGTGTTGGTATGGAGGGAGGTATGGTATGATATCGTATGGAGGGTGGTATAGTAGGTGGTGGTATGGATCGAGGTATAGTGGAGTGGTGGTATGGATGGAGGAGGTATAGTGGAGTGGTGGTATTGATGGAGAGGTATAGTGTAGGTGGTGGTATGGATAGGGAGGTATTAGTGGAGTGGTGGTATGGATCGAGGTATAGTGGAGTGGTGGTATGGTATCCAGGTATTGTGGAGTGGTGGTATGGATCGAGGTATAATGGGTGGTATGGTATGGAGGGAGGTATTGTGGAGTGGTGGTATGGAGGGAGGTATTGTGGACTGCTGTATGGTGGTATGGTATGGTGGTATGGATCGAGGGTATTTGTGGAGTGGTGGTATGGATCGAGGTTTAGTGGAGTGGTGGTATGGTATCGAGATATAGTGGATTTTTGGAGTGGTGGTATGAATCCAGGTATAGTGGAGTGGTGGTATGGATAGGAGGTATAGTGGAGTGGTGGTATGTATCGAGATATAGTGGAGTGGTGGTATGAATCCAGGTATAGTGGAGCGGTGGTATGAATCCAGGTATAGTGAGTGGTGGTATGGATCCAGGTATAGTGGAGTGGTGGTATGGATCGAGGTATAGTGGAGTGGTGGTATGGATCGAGGTATAGTGGAGCGGTGGTATAGTGGCATGGGGAGGGGCGAAGAATGGTGGAGCGGAGGGTGGTATGGCGATAT